ACCTGAGTGCTCGACTGAGAGATAGCTTTGCTGTCTTTAAAAATAATCGTTTGCTGCGACTTAGATTGGCTAATTGGTAGACGCTGATTCAACCGTACGGCCACTTCGCAACTTGAACTAGTTTGCTGATCAGTTTGAGCTTGTATAACAAACTCACCAACCCTAGCAGTGGAATCTGCCAGAGGAGATGAAGTAGGTGAGGTTGAATGGCTGAATCTAGAAGGATAGGATGAAGTAAGTTCAGATTTATTTTCAAGGTTAATGCTCTGATTGGTTTGAAAGGCATTCGACTGAGCACGCGAAATTGAGGATATAAGGTCTCGCTGATGGACACCTTCAAAAATGTCGGGTGGGCATGTGTGGACAATCTTAGAGTTGTCACTAGGGTGGATTGGGTAGGAGGTAGCTCCTGAAGCCTCAGTAGAGGGATACAGCCTAGAGGGAATGATGAAAGATTCGGAATTCAAATAGTGAGAGTGGTTTGGTGTGGAAATGACCGGTGTGATGTTGGAAGCGGTTGTTCTGTCTATATGATACGAGTAACAGTTAGCGCCGGTAGAAGCTGGCAATGAGAATTGGGCAGGCAGATGGGTAGGTGAAAGCATCGGTTGCCGAGTGCGGATACGACGAGTGGAGCAGATGACCGGAAAATCTATTCCTGGTGTTGAGGACTCAGTTTCCTGTGATATTTTATCAGACGAGTCACTGCTGGGAGAGAGTGTTGCCGTTAATCCTTTTATCAGAGAAGGCAGAAGAATCTGGGTATCAGGCATTTCAATGCCTTGGTCTCCAGAACCATTGGTTTCACTATCACAAGTGTTGGCGGCTGTGCAATCTGTATTGGCTGCTATGTCCGATGTCCGACGTGTCAAAGTCCTAAGTGGGGTAGCGTCACCCCAAGCGCGTTGGCTATTCTGGGACGAGGTGGATAAATAGGGGGACGCTATACCGCGAGCCTCGAGCAGCCGGGAGGCTGACCGATTGGTAATATAGGCTGAGTTATTATCAGTCGTCAGGACTGTCACGCGGTGGTTTGTCGGATGTTGCTTATCGATGAGACGGCGCTTGTCAATAGGACCTTGTGAACTTCCAAGGCGAATACTGCTCTGTAGGCTGCGTCTAGCTTGCTCTGACGAAGAGGTCGACCGATCTGAAGAGAAAAACATATTGAACTAGTGACATGTAAAGCATCATTCCATAGTCAGTTAACTCTTAAAAGCCTCATTCTAAGATGCTATAGTCGGGCTTCGTTTGGTAAATAAAAAGGAATTTTAGATACACCTGCAGTGAAAAAATGCCCTTATTTTAGAATAACTCTTTCGTACACACTGCCATCAGGTATATTTAACTTAGAATTTAAATTTTCAACTACTATCAGAAGGGGCAAAGCTCAAAAAGAATTTCTATAGAAGTTGAAGAATAAAGAATTACAAAACTGCAGAGAGCAGCAATAAAGCGAAGGAGCTTGCGTCCTATCATAAGATAGTTTTTAAGCGATTTATCATATCTATTAAGGAAAAAAGCCAAGAATTGATGATGAAGGGCTGAACGAAGGTTTTACAAGTAATATCAAGGCAGATTC